GATACGCCCAGTCCTGCTCACACCGGGCACACCCAGTCCTGCTCACACTGGGCACGCCCAGTCCTGCTCACACCAGGCACACCCAGTCCTGCTCACACTAGATACGCCCAGTCCTGCTCACACCGGGCACACCCAGTCCTGCTCACACTGGGCACACCCAGTCCTGCTCACACTGGGCACACTCACTGCAGCTAAGACATCACACCCCAAACCTAACTCAGTCCTCATCAACATGCCAGCCTGCTTTGTTATAAAAACTCACAGGGCTTAACAATGTTACTCAGAAACCTAGGGCATCAGATATCAAGTAGCCACTTGGTTGGCTACAAGAACCATGTGGAGGGCTTTGCACTTCCTGGTTCAAGTCCAGTAAGACACCCGTATAAAGAAAACACACCATCTGCCCAGGTTGGGAAACCAGACAGACAGAGGGCAGTTGAGTCCACATACACATGATAACTGTTTTCTGACAAACACGTACAGGAGATTCAGATATGGAAGATTATCATTTTTCAGCAAAAGATACTGGACAAGTTGTGTATTGGGGTGTTTTGAGTGAAATGCCCCCTACAGGCCCATAGGGAGTGGCGTTACTGGAGGCCTAGCAGACATGGCTTTGTTGGAGAAAGTGCATCACAAGAGGCGGACTTTGAGGGTTCAGAAGCTCAAGCCAGACCCAGTGACTCGCTTGTCCTTCCTGCTGCCTGAGGACCCAGACAGAGAACTCTCAGCTACTTTTCTACAGCACCGTGTCTGCCTGCACGCCACCATGTTTCCTACCAGGATGACAACGGACTAAACCTCTGAACTATAAGCTACTGCCAGTTAAATATTTTCCTTCATAAGCGTCACTGTGGTCATACCATGGTCTCATCACAGCAATAAAACCCTAACTAAGATATGTATTGATAAATTAAAAAAAAAGTTTGATTTCAAACAACACATACATAAATCAGTTTAAACTGTTAGATTTCAATATACTTATACACTCCCAAATTACAGAACATCTAAAAGAAAATATTTTGGGGACTGAATTAGGTAAAAGATATTTATATAGAAATCGAGACAAACATGAACACAGGTCACCTCTGGCAGGTGTCAGACCATGTGGGAAGAAGTCCTCTATGCTCTGACCCATGGCTGATGGGGTTTGTTTCAGGCACCCTCAGCCCATCATAACATGGATAATTCCCTCGTGAGAATTCTAATACAGTGTACAAACAGCTGTCATTTGGCTTTCCCTTTAGTAAGCGGAGCAAACTATACTAAAATAGTGAGAGGCCAAAGAGACTATATGCTACCCAAAATGATCCTCTGGCCTCGATTTTCTCTTTTTTCTTTTATTGTTTTTAATGTTTCACGGTGTGTGTGTGTGTGTGTGTGTGTGTACACGTGTGTACAGGTGCTTGCAGAGGCCAGAGCTATTGAATTTCCTGGGGCTGATATTACAAGTGATTACAAATTTGCACCATTTGGAGGGCAGAGGCAGAAATTTTTTTTTTTAAACAGAACAGATTCCTATTTGAGTCTAGCTTATCCACAAATCTCCACCAAATTCTATACTTTATTTCATAAATTGCAGTCAATTTTCTTTTCTATTTAATAATATTCTATTTAATAAGCCTTTTAAAAAGCTGCTTCTATTTTCATTTTACAAGTTTTAAGTTATAAAGCATTATAGGAAGTGTTTTACACATTACTGACTATTGTACTTAATCATGGCTTAATTAATGCAGCATATCGCTTTGGCTTGTAAGACAAAGTTCAAACCGAAATTAGTACTTGTACAAAATAACCAAAAACTCCAGAATGCACAGGTTACTTCCCTGTTAGTGTAGATATATTCTGTTTTTCTGTTTATTTTCCAATTTTACAACTTGAACATCACTGACAACAGCTGTCACAACAGTCACTCAGACTCTGAAGCACTCTGCAATCTCTTTGCTTCTGCGACTTTGTGAAGCTTAATTTAACATGGAAATGGAAACACGAGGAATCACGGATTAGGGGGAACCCATGCAGTGTGGGCCTGTGCCCTATCCTGAGTGTCATAAAGTGATCAAGCTCTGTTTACTCCAGTGGACTGGTCCTCCAAGCAGGCAGCTGATGGGGAGAGGGAGGCAGAGGGAGCACTGGCTTGCGCAGGGTGCATGGTCAACCCGTACCTGAGCGTGGAGCAGCTCCTCACACCTGTGGGCCTGTTTCTCGATTGCAGACACGTACTGTTTCTCGATGGCATCTAGCTGCTGCTTAACTGAAGACTGTAGAAGTGCCTACAAACAAGCAAAAAAAGAAAATTATTTGGCTCCGCCAGTCCCTGGAGCTGGCTCCTGGCGTGCCAGTGTCTGACAGCTCGGCATCCCAAGCAGGGCGAGCTACACACCGGAACCCACACGCACGACAGTGGGGCACACTGACACGGCACATTAAGCGTCTATCTTTAGGTTTTACTGCTGCCGATACTACACTTTTTTGGCTCAAATTCTACACACCTCCTTTAAAAAAAAAAAAGTCAAGCCATAGAAAATGATAAAGAGGGTAAATATCTCTGCTAAATAGAAATTCCGTTCAGTAGAGACCACACAGGATGAAGAGCAAATGAAAGCTATGGGGGGGGAGGGTGGGGGGAGGAAAAAAAGCCAGACATATTTCACTGGCTGACAAAACTCCACATCCTCTGGACACACTGTAGTACCCATGGGCCAAGCATGATCTTCGAGACCACAAGGCAAGTAGAAGCAGATGGCGGCTCTGAGCAACTGAGACACTAAAGCCTGCCCCCCAGGATGCTCATGCCCCTAAGATGAAAGGGTGGAGGTTAGGTATGTGTAAGTCAGCCATAAAGTGGTATTCATAAAAGGTAGCAGGGCTTGTGAGATGAAACTGCACAGTGTGGACTCCGGAAGCCCAGAAGGGGACATACGACGTTACCACTCCCAGAAAGTCCAGTCAGCCAGAGCTGGTGCCAACGTAGCCCTTCCTGGACATGCTCACAGGACTGCCAGCTTCCCCCTTTCTGTTCTCAGCTCTGTGTGAGTCTACCATATTCCCGTGATATCTATTTATAGACTCTAACATCCCAAACGTGCACAGGGCCCCCAGCACACGCTCTACCATTAAACCTATGGTATAATAAACTACTCACAGGCGGAACAGCAACTCAAGGCAGACACATCTTATGGGAAACAGACCTTTGGCATATTTGCCAGCGAAAGAAAAGCGAGCCAAATCTCCTAAGCTTTGTTTTGAAAATAGACTTATTCAGCTGGAAACAACAGGCATCAAAATCCTAAATAAACAGGCAGGCATTTTTTTTTTTAAGAAAACTAAAAATGTTTTTTAAACCTCTGGATAAGTCTCAGATGCTCAGGGAACTGGCTCTTTCGCAAAGGGGTTGCGAAGGTGCTGTCCGGGCCGAGCAGAGGGAGAGAGCAGCGCTCACCCACGGTGAGGCTGCTGAAGCCATCTCAGTCCCAGGCTGAGACCCTGGAGAAGCGCGGAGCGATGCACAAAGAGGCAAATGCAGCCTCTGCGCGGGACTAGAAACATCTGATTTTCCTACGGCAAAGTTTAGTACTGTTTTGTTAGCTTAAAAAATTCCTTTTGGTGGTTAGTTTGAGGCAGAATCTCATTATTTAGCCTTGGTTGGCTCGGAACTCACTCTAAACCAGGTTGGCTTTGAACTCACAAAGATCCACCTACCTTTATGTTTCAATTGCTGGGCACACTTGGCATAAAAATTTCTCATTAAAGAATGACACAGACCATTTTCTTGAATAATTGAAGGTCTTTCATGAGGAATGCCTTCTGGTTTTGAGATGGGGTGTCAAGTGGCCCAGGCTGCCCTCAAACTCGCTATGTAACTAGGTTATACTCCTGTCCCTCCCCCCCAAGTCCTGGGAGGACAGGATCCCCATGCCTGGTGAAACGGCCATCCTCTTCTGGAAGTGGAGTGTAACAGAACTGTTTCATTCAAGGAGTTGCTTTCACCTCCCTACCTGCTGTGGTCCCAAGCTATCCCAAACGCAAATGGCTCTTGATTTCTAGTCAGTTGTGTTCTTAGTCCACATGTTCCCACTATGGAGACGTCACCTGAACAGCCTCCGGGGTCACACCAGCCCTAGTCCTTTGAACACTAGTGGTTGGAGGACGGGTCCCTCAAGAGGTGTTCAGAGAGAAGAAAAGGCCAGCATCCCAAGCATGCACACAACCTCCTATCTGCAAGTAAGGAAGACAGTGCACATTCCATTTTAAAGACCCCAGAATGTCGAAAGACAGAAAGCAAGTACTCTCTGGTGTGTGTGTGTGTGCACGTGCACGCGTGTGTGTACAGCAAGGCCTGCCAGTGGGCTCCGAGTGTGTGTGTGTGTGTGTGTGTGTGTGTGTACATCAAGGCCTGCCAGTGGGCTCGGGGTTGTGTGTGTGTGTGTGTGTCAAGGCCTGTCAGTGAGCTTGGTGTGTGTGTGTGTGTGTGTGTGTGTGTGTGTGTGTGTGTGTGTGTGTGTGTCAAGGCCTGCCTGTGGGCTGGGCACAGCAGCTGGTATGAGGAAGCCAGGCCAGAGCAGAGGCAAAGGCAGGGAAGTGGAAGTAGGGCCATGCAGGCAGGAGACCTGGGAGTCACCGCAAGCCCTGACAGACCTCTTCAGTTTACTCAATGCTGGCAGGAAACTCCCCAAAGCCACCCTCCTATCTCAGTTTCACACACTGTGGACACACAAAAGCACGCTCACAGTAGTCAGTCATTTTCTGGCTTCCTGTGCAATCATATAAAACAATAATCATCTTGCTATGTGAAACACGCATGGATTTTAAGTCAAAAAAGGTACATTAATATTAACATTCCTAACCTGTCTTCTGTAATTGTATTTATAGATAACTGCATGGGACAAAGGCTTCAGTCTGAATTTAAGATTTCCAATTCATCCTGGCTCCTGATTCAAGTTCAAATGTGCAGTCCCTATGACCCAGTCAGGAAAAGGCCATTCTGACCCCATATGCTCACCTCTGGGGAGAAGATGAGAGCCCCACCTCAGGAGTATCAACACCACATGTCTGGGGAGATTCTATTTCATTTTACAAAAAAGAAAAAAAAAAAACCCTATTGTCTTAAGCGTTTTAACAACTCAATTGAGACATCAAAGGTTTCTCATTTTTTTCCTTGTTTTAAAAAAGAGTGCCGGCAAGGTCACACAGAGGCTGCAGGCGATGCCTGTATCTGGGGTGTGAGGAGAGGGCTGGCGTTCAGGCTTTTCTGGAGCCTGAGGACCAGTGCCGCATTAATACACAATTCAAAGGAGAAATCTCAGCTGATGGGCGTCGATCTCAGTGGAACTCAATACAGTCTAGCCATGTTATAAAGTGCTTTGGGGGCTGTGAAGGCCAAAGCAAACCTCCAGGACAGAGGGAGAGTTTCCTGCTGGCCTTGCCGCTGCAGGATTCTAGTAACGTAAGAGCTGCTACCTCAAACACCACACATGTCTCCCAGAGAAAATGTCTTTTGTGCCATGGACAACACATTAAAATTAAGAAGTTTCTAAAATTAAGCGCACCACAGAGGCTGTGCGTGTCTGCCTTCCAGATACTTCAACCTTTTGAAAAGCTGCCACACGGGCCAGCCTCTCTCTCTGATGCCACAGCCTGGTCCTTGCGACTTGATCACAGCTATGGCTTCAGCTCAAAGAACAAAGGGAGGAAAGGAAAGTGATTCCTGCCTCCTCGTGAGTCCCCAGAGAGTGAGATGGAGCACTCAGTGACTGGTGCAGGAAGCCGGAAACTGGGGGTCAGCTAGGACAGCCCTACATCAGGACAAGAGGGCCTGGCTCTTACTCCTCCTCCTCCACCTGTTTACCTGCATTTATATACAGGGGGCCCCTGTGCCCCAGTATTAGCAGTGGGAACTGGGAAGAGGTGCAGACCCTTCCCCATTGGTGACGATGTTCTCTTTTATAATGGTGGTGGCTTTGCTCTTATTGATGACATTCTAAAATGGGATTATTCTAACAATTTCCTGATTGTTTTGTGTTTTAAAGTCCTCACTGTGTATACATAAAGTAGACTCTTGGGGAAAAAAAAAAACACTGGAGTCAACATTACTTTTAGTAGCCGCTAGATTTAAAATCATTACTATTTTTCTTTCCAACTTGGCAGGATCTACTAATGAAGTGCAGTTCTCTCGGGAGAGAAGAAAGGGGACCTGCCATGCAACCTCTACCAGCGCTGAGAGCTGAGAGGCTGGACTCACATCAACTCACTAGAGCGGCACAGAGACACACCTGCCTTGATGTCACCAGACACCTCCGCAGGTGGTTTGCAGTCATGAGGTGACAACAGATGACAGAAGCGACCGCACGAGGGGCAGGATCTGAAATCCAGGGTACGGAGCAGGCCACACAGACGCCACAGTGACACTCGTCCTTCCGTGTCTACACCAGACTGTGACTAGCTAGCGCGGAAGAACCTCACTGTTAAACAGTGTGAGGTGGCCTGGCAGCCCTGCCATCAACACATGCTGGTCTTTGCCAACACTCCCCAAAGGGAGGAGGGGCACATGGGTCTCCCACAAAAATCACGAAACCAAAGTGTGCTGATAATGGGAAATAGAGAGGAACCACGGTTGACTTTTCCACTGAAATCCCCCTGCTACAACAGCAAGCTGACACCTCTTCACAAATCAGACAGACTTTAAGTTCTAAAAAGGTAGTCACCTGTTTTCAAATTTTCAAAATTATTCACTGTGTATGTGAGTATGTCCAAAAATAACAGTAGCTTTGGTAAGACAAACCCTTTGATAATATATAATTATATACACTCTGTGTGTGTATACACACACACATATACATATATATATATACATATATATATATAAAATTGTGCATGTATATATAAAAATACATATAATTCCATGTTCTCGCACTGGGAATACACAGAAAGCTAGCTAGAAAGTAAGAACAAACACAAATCAGCCTTTCTGATCTTGACGGTAAGCTACACTAGTTAGAAACAAGACAGACAGTTAAGGGTTTCTTGGATCATTAGATCTCTGCCTGTCCAGACTCAGAGTCTATAACACATATAAAAAACAAATTTAACCACTTCTCTCTATACTGATCAAACAGGAGAACAATTTAAAAGAAAAATACATTCTTGAATATGGTCGCCTTTGCAGAGCTGTCTATGAACACGCTCCCCGCACTCAGGAACTCAATTTAGAGTGAGTGTCAAACTCCTGTGTCCCTTTCTCTCCTGGTGGCAGCCACGGCACCTGTTCTATCAC